AGCTTGGGGAACTTTTGAGATGGTCCTTGAACAATGATAAAAAAATATATAATATATATATCTCTTTGCTACCTTTTTCAATTGGCCATGACCGATAGGATAATCTATTAGCTGTGATCATCCATATCGTACTACTCGAGAGCCCCGGCTAATTGTAACAATATCAATTAACCAATCACTGACCAAACTGTTTTTTTTTCATTCACCCGGATCTCCACGACCAGAGTTGGCGGAGATTTAATTTTCTGTTTTTCTGTTTTCTGTTTTCTTGTCCTCTCCGTCGGCATTGCCCCCCATGGGCTGGGCAAACAGGATTTCGAGGTACTAAATCAAATTCAATTCATTGTTTGTTATATTATGAACTCAGTATATTAATTATATAATCAGTGTTGGCCGTGTTCCGGAAATGCTTCTTTATTTCACCATTACTTTTAGCCGTACTTATATTAGCCACGTGAGTGCGTATGTAACGGGTGGTCCGGTCGGAACTCGTAAAAAGAAATGGTAGAATACGTTGACCGAAAGAAAAAAATGGAGAAACGGATTAGCACACCTACGAATGGATCACTCGTATCGATTAGAACTTAATAGAAAGACAGGTATTCTATTCGAAGGTGTACTAACGAAATCAGTGACAAAAGTTATTCTTTCTTTTCTCGATGAATCATTCTTGTGTACGTTCATTTTGGGATCACAACTTTCCTCTAAGTATATTTCTCTCATTCGCAAACGTCATCGGTCGAAGACCTGAGTATACGTTTCAAATCGGCCACCCAGTGTACATGCACCGTATATATATATATATTTATATATACATATTCATATATAAATTTATATATATCTACTATATACTACACTCTTAACAGTGCATTTAAATTAACTGATCTGCTCTGTCTACCTTACTGTTTTCCTTACCATCGATCGGTGTTAGTTGTGACACGTATATATATATAAAATACTGACGATACAGAAGGAAAAAAGGAGAACGAAGGAAAATACGTTTTATATATATACACGCGCACCTGTGTGTTCCCTATATATAACATTAACACATCGTCGAAGCTGAATCAGGTATATACCAGTTGATCTATATAATACGCGGAACAGTGTCTGCTGCATTTTATCACGATCGAACGGCCCCGACGGATATATTGTCCACTTTTAGATCAGAGTATATTTGTTAAGTAGTGTTTAGTGCAACTTGTAGAGCGATGTTTCGGTGCACTCAATGCAACTCTCTCTCTATATATATATGTATATATATTATATACATATTACTTTTACGTATATATATTATATATATACATCTCTAAGCATAGCCACTGTCATTTAGAACACTGTCTATCCGACCCGTTCACAATACTCATCTTTTTCTATACCTCGATCTCACGTACAGCTTCTCCAACGGTGAACTATGGATCATTCGCCGCACATTACGATCTATATATCGATCACTGGTCTCTCCAATGGTACTGGAGGCAGTGACGAAGAGAAATCGAAGTTATCGTTGACCGACAGCCGCAGGGTGTATCTGAAAGGCGCTTCCCGATCGTCGATCGTTCAATTGAAACCGCCGGGATTAATTGTCAATCGGAATTTACTACGGTGATTAGGATTTATCAGTGAACGAGCTCGCCACGCGTTCGCTGCGAATTTATCGTCATTCGGGAATTAATGAAAACTTTGTGAATGGAGATTGACACCGAGTAGTGACGTTTCTCGATAGACAGTGATATCGAGGAACAATTTATTACGCGTTCAATTCATGATTATTGTTTCGCCTCGATGAATGGTTCGGAGATAGTAGTTTACAGAAGCGGGGAGTATAGATGTTTCATTAACAGCTAAGGGTAGTTAAGTTTTTAATGATAATTAAGTAACGAAATTGTAGAAAAGAAGACGATAATATAATTCTCTCCCTAAATGTTAATCGAAACTGTGGAATACATCGTTCTCATAGAAGTTTTCGTTTTCGAGAAAAACGCTTTTGAAGTTTCGAGGTGGAGAAAGCGTTGGTCGGACGCCATTACGTCGCGTAATGGCGGTCATTGTATTTTAATAGTAACTCACTCTTATAATTCAAAATATTACTCAATGGAATAATTGAGTTGTAGTTTCAAGAATTGAAATATCTAGATTACTTTTAACTGATTTTGGAAGCGCTTCCGTTATTCGTCCTCCAGTAACCATTAAAACGCCGGCGGGAGAGACTCGCGAAACGCCTCAACGAAGAGAAACCGATCACTGGAAATACTCTTGTACCATTCGTTCGACGCGCAAAACCGGGTGACATCAATCAGCACCGAGTATTCCCGTTGAACTATAGATAAATAATATATTCCGTACACAGAAAATTTCATCGAAGCTTGTATACGTCTATGGAACTCTTCTCGCCGAGAACAACAATAGAAATGAATGTTTCTGTACAATGAGTCATAGAATTGTTCGTGTTCTAATTATTATCATCGATCGATCCTTCCCACAACAGAAAATCGATCTTTGGATTCTCTCTAATTTATTGAATTTTTAAAGAAATTTAATCATTCAGTGAAACAGAAATGGCAATTGATTGTCGACCGTTTCGTGTCAGTGAAAGAGAGGATACGAACGATTCAGTGACTCCCTGTACACGTCCAGGGGAATTTGAATGCACTGCATGAACGAGTAGATCTCGATATATATGTATAATAGAAGAAAGTCGCCCGCTTTTGCAAACCCATCTACAAGACCGCCCTTCACATTGCCAGTTATGTAGTAGAGCAATGGTTTCGTGCTATATAGTGATGTCTGACTTTATGAATGGAACTACTACCAGAACGTGAACACCGACTCGAGAGAGGGTCGACAAAACCCTTTTCTACACTTTTCTATAGCAGTGTTTTTCGAAACGTTCGTCGATACACGAATATTAAACAATAAACAATCTCTTTTCACATTAATCGAATATAAGGTCGTTCAAAAATACTTAGAAGCAAAGAGGAATAGTAATATTGATTTCATCAAATAATTGAACATTGAATAAGAAACAAAATGGGCAAACTATAGGCCATGTAATAATATGCTCTATTTTCTACATGTTCGACATTTCATGACAAGTAATAGGAAAATCTTGATGTTCTGATGTTATTAGAATCGATTAAGGAACTTGATAATCACGACGACAGTCCGAAAAACGCTGTTCTATAGCATGACACCGCTGCACACGATGTTTTTTCGAGTTTGTGTTTTACTTCCGGAAGCGTTGCGATTACGCGTGAGCACAAGGCTCGGCGTTCACTCGAGCCCCCGAAAATCGAATCACTTGCGCATCAAGATGGCGGACGGAGAGCCGAAAAGTCCGGCCGGTGTCTGTGCTCTTGTTAACTTATCTCACAGATAAGATATATTTTTTTTTTTTAAAAAAAAGAACAAATTCTTGGTCCTTCGTCCGTGACCACGGACGGAACAGAATTGCACATATACGTAGCAGATTGACCGACGCTGAGCAATCGGTGACATTATTTTCACATTCGATGAGTTTAGGCCATCTCCAGAGTTGCCTGCCTGCCGCTGAAACTTTTTTTCAAAAATCGCTGCGAGTTTGTTGGCTGGCCGCCGCCTTGCGATGTTGTATAACTCTCGCTTACGATCGTAATGGAAACCGTTCTTTTGTTTCTCTCCAGATTTTGATCGCTTTGTTGTATTGTTCTGTTGTTTTTTTTCCTTTTTTCACTTGCCGGCACGTGTACGTACAATATTTGCAGTTGTTTTGCAGTATCTCTGCGAAAGTATGTGCAGGAGGAGAGAAATTAAGTAGAGCGACGCGAGATACCGGCGCAGCCCGAGACGCATCTGACTTTGTGCCGCTTGTTGCCGCTTTTTTGAACGGTGCTGCTGAATGGATGGATTGAAAGTAACATTGATCGCCGGTGATGAAACAGAATGCATGCCGGACGCGGCGAAAATCTGCATTTTTGCGCTTGTCCGTTAGCATTGGTAGTTATGCATGCGTCATCGGTGATTTCCCGTGCACGCGAATCGGAAATTCACGCGCACTCGCCCTGGGAGAATGAGTTGACACGTTTACGATCGGAAATCTTCGAGTACCGTAATTAATATAATCGTATCTTTGTATTAACTGTTGTAGTTTCTTTGCTGGCAGCGTTCACTTAGTGTTAATTTAACTTAATCTTGACTTAGAAGTGATGAAGAATTTTATCTCGATGATGACAGGGATTTTCGGAGCAGTGGAAAGAGTTTGAAGTTAACTTTATTGTTTTATTGATTCTATTTTAATGATTAGTGTCCCTAAAATTTGATGCTTCAGTAAGTGATGGACCAAGATCAATTCGTTGAAATATAATGGAAGGTTCTGTTGCTTAGGCAATCAAAGACGTCGTTTACGCTGTATGACCGATGTGTCTGACTATAAGTTACTGTTTCTACTTATCGCCTTCCACGTTGCACTGATTAAATCGAGGATTTGTTTGGTACTGTGTGTTTTAACATTATTTTCTGACAATATGAGAAACAGTCTCATTCTTATATAAAGACAATTTCCGATTTCTGTGGACGTGAATCATTATCATGTACATTGCATGGTTTTTGACACTTCACCTCCCGGAGATAACTTAAAAGGCTTTTTGGTGCTAAATCTCTACTCGATCGTTTTATTTGATTAATGATGCAGATTAATGGCAGATTAATCTTAATCTGCTAAGAAACTTACCAAAGCCGGTCAGAAAATAACCTGAATAACAATAACGTAAAATAAGGACTAATTTTTTTTATTTATACTAATACAGGTACCTATTCAAAGAAGTAATTAAAGGGGAAAAGGAACTATGGATTAAAAAGTGGAGCAACAGACGCATCTCCACCGATTAAACATCTAAATAAACAATTGATAAGCTGCATTACGATAAATGTTGCACCAAAAGAACCTAGTAACAAATTTCCGGTTGGAAAATTGAAACCAGTAGATCATGGGACACCAATGCTGTGTGTCCACTTGAGAATCACTCGCGAGAGAAAAACTTAGACAATCTGAACGTGAATATTTCGAAAAATAATTCACAATGTAAATTGAAAAACTGAATTAAATATAATAAGATTTCTCGTGGACACGTAGCATTACATTTAGACAAAAATGTGCTTCGATAAATACAAACTCATCAAACTACACTTACGATAGCTCTATATGTATAGCTTTTCTTTAAATGTTGATTATCGTGACAAGAAAGAAACGAAAAAGAGTGCCAAATAGAAGTATACCAATGTTCATTGAATAATTACAGATCGAAATTAGTTGGCAATGAACTTCGGTATCGCTGGCAAAGAAATCTCTCGTTATCCCCCTGTTTCCAGTTTATTTGAAATAAATGAAACTCCTCGAAATTGTAATGAAAAATGAAAGAAGATGGCAGAGAGATTTCTTTCGCCCGAAGATTTTTTTGCTTTTGAGTCAGGTGCACTGTGACGCGTATTAAACCGGATACGATAGTACGTGAAATATCTCGAAGGTTCAGAGCTTGATCCCACCGTCGAACGATAGCATTATTCCTGATCTGTTTACACGCCTGTTTTCGATGATGTTGTTAAAAAGTGCGCGCGCGCACTCGCACACGTGTTTCTCACCACTTTCTCCGGGGCATAAATGGCCAATTTAGCGACTAATCACGAAGTGTGCATGTAAGAGTAGCTCACCGAGACCGCTTCACTGCCGAGCGACACTAATGCGTAAACGATCGTGTTATTTGCAGTTTTTTGTAAGACTCGATCATATCCGCAAGTGCTTTACTCAGAAGGATGGGATCTTTGTATTGGAAGAATTCAGTGAGTAATTGATTGATCATCATTCGTTGCTACCATTAAACATTATTTAATCAATTATTTGATCAACATGAAAAATTTGACTTTTTGAAGAAAATATTTAAAGATCTATATTTGAGAAGAGGACAACGTGAAAAATGTATATTTGAAATTGTATACAATTGAGATTGAAATTGATAACATTGATCAAATAATTTTGACCGATAGTGTATAATTTGTAATAATTTGTAATAGTTAATTACCATCATTTAGAGAGGTATTTCCACGAATATAATAATTTAGATATTCTCACGAATTTTTACTGTCTATTAACAACATTTTCTCACGTTTCAGATCCTAAAACTAGACAAGTAATTCATCGTAAATATAAGTCACAAATGGTAAGCATATCTTTATCTAAGAGAGTCTATCCTTCAATCTATCCATGATACAATTCCTTTTTTTTTATTATTTCTTTTTACGATTACGTTTCATTGGATAGTTTTTGAAATATTGAAATTTTCATCGATACCAAGATCATTGATTGTAACGATCGGATACTATGTAACAGGCCAACGAATTGTGCCACTGCATGCACAGGGTATTCTCCGTTGCCTATACCTTATCTGAACTTTCGTCTGAGAATCAAGTCGATCAAGTCGACCCCGAGAACAACAATTCATGAAGGTTTAATTATGATTTCCTTGTTTTTAACCTTTGACCGTAAGTTTTGTTCCTCGTTCGCTTATACTACTCGACATTATCTCCCCTTAAATATTGTATTGTCTACTGTGATGGCTAATGTCAGAATAAGAGACTGGAGGAAAAAAATGTCAGTCATGGAAATGGTTGAAAAGTGTCCCATTAATTTTTATGGCAGAAAAACATAAATCATATTGAATCATATGTACCTAGAATTTTAACAATAAAACAATTTTTCTTGATCTCATTAAGAAACTCAAAACGAATGGACAGTTTTCCTCTAATTTCCATGAGTTCTACAATTATTCGTTTCTATCAATCTTATATTTATATCTCTTTTCATTCAACGCTTCGCTTTTAAAACTACGTATTACGCTTCTAAAAATATTCCTATTTGATTGATAACTTTCAAACTTTCTAATCTTCCTTTCAACGAATTACAATACACTCCGTTTAAACGATCGTAATCTCTCTTACAGGCAGATCAAATCTGCTACTCGGTACTCTGTGTGTTCTCTTACGTGGCCGCCGGGTCAGATCAAGGGAAGCCGCCTAACCAGCAATCGCAACCCCAGCAACAGTCCCAACAGCAACACCAACAACACTCACAACATCATCACCAGCAGCAGCACCATCAACAACATCATCAACAGCAGCATCAACAGCAGCATCAGCAACAACATCAATCACACCAGCAACAACAACGACATCACCAACAGCATCAGTCGCAGCAGCAACCACAACGACAACATCCTCCACAGAAACAGTACCAGCATCCACAGCAATCTCAGCAACGTTCTCAGTACCAGCACCAACAACGTCAGCAATCTCAATCACAGCAGCAACAACATCAGCAACATCAGCAGCAACATCAGCAGCAACAGCAACATCAACATCAACAGCAACAACATCAGCAACATCAACAGCAACATCAACAGCAACATCAACAGCAACATCAGCAACAGCAACAGCACCAACACCAGCAACAACAACAACAGCCACCCAATTCAGGTAGCAGCAATGTCACGCCGAATCATCAGAAGCAGAAAACCTCATATTTCGACCCCTACCCAAGACAACACTGACACAGAGGCAGACACTCGCTCCCATTTGTGCATAATTACAATAAGTGTGCCCCCTACGCTTGCCTACCCTGGGTGTAAGTATCATTCCTAAACTATCTGTCCCGTGATCCGACCAGAGCTCTGATTCATTGATTATACGTGTAATAAATTGTAATTCGTCTTTCCTGAACGGATCCTTGAAAATTCGTTCGTCAATCCTTTCAAGGAACGTTCTAGCGTTTAATAGAATTTTAATCGGTTCATCAACACTTAGTTATCAATCATCGGTTCATTAAACTGTTCGTCAATTACTTTTTACTTCTTTTCGAATCTTTCTTGCGTTACTCTATATATTTAAGTTCTACCAAAAATTTTAGATTTCTTTGGCTCTTTCCATCAATACTTTCAATTCTATTATCATTTTTTACTGTTGTCTATAAAAAGCCTAGGTGTATAATTCTTAACCAAGTTATTTGTAAGCGTCTAAACGTTCGAACGTTCGTGAGGAATCGTAAGAAACGAGTATCAAATAGAGCTCTGGATTAACACAAAATCACTCGAGAAACTATGCCCAATAATCATCTTCACGCTATCCCCAAAGAGAGTCAGCTCTAAGTCTCTTCTATGTGTGGAAAAAGCTATTCGTACTCTACTCGAGAAAGCATTCGATGAACGCGGGCTAGGATTCGTGAAAACGGGACCTGTGGCGAGCATAGAGATCGAAACAGAGGGTGGCGCGTGATGTACAGGGTGTCACAGATTTTTCTAACCAAGCATACAACTTATTTTACGTTTCATCTATTTTTAAGACCTTGCGATTTCTTTAACAACTCTCGGTAGAACCATTTTCTTGTTCTTGTTGTTCATTGGAACAAAAAGATTCTACGCTCATTTTATGCCTGTTTCCTCTAAACAGAATTGACAACTGAAATGTAATATTTAATTTGGACTGAAACAAATTAAGTAACATTTATTTGTTAAATTCTATTTGAAATCTTCGCCACGAGTCTGACACGACATTGTATGACAAGAGGTTAACATCAATTTAATTCTATATAACAAAGCATAACGAAAAGTTTATCAAGTTTCCAGTAAAAATTATAATACGTAACAATTATTCAACGACGCCGTTGAAACCGTTCAAGCCAGATTCATTCGAAAGATAATTTTCAATCTCTCTCACCGTGAACCACGCGCCACTCCACGGAAATTATATAATCGGGCGAAATTGGCGGAGAACCTGCGCGAGCAAAAAAAAGGAGAACAGAGAAATTCGTGGCGAATTGGCGATTCGATTCGACACAATCGCGGTAATTATTTGCAAAGCGGGAGTCGTTACGTGTACAAGACAACCAAGAGAGATGAAAGCGGGAGCCGACCGCGCTGCTGCGAAGCGCGTTGAAGATCAAGATCAAGGACAGAATATTCTCATAATTAAAACCAGACGACGAAGTTGACGAGAGGAGATGATAATTGTAAGAAAAATTGCAGCGGCTGTTGTATATTTAGAGAAACGGATTACGTGTGGTACATATATACATATACATAGAAAGAAACCGGGAACGAGTAAATAAACCGCGTACAGAGAATTCTAGGCGTTTATAGTTGCTTTATATTTGAATAATAAATCAGTTTTATTTAAACCATGGTACACGATAAGAAAAATGTCTTCACAAAATCTCCGGAGGTAAAATAAGTTTCTTATGGTGTATTGGCGTTTGAAACTAAAACTAACTTATCATTCAAACATCAAAACCAACAGTTTTGAACCTTCTAAAAACCAGAATCATCTGCGTACGTTCTCTAGAGATGTTTCCTTCTTCGGTAATTGCCAGCCGTGTGCACGCGTAGAGACGATGTTGTGAC